TACGTGCTGTCAAAGATCTTCCAGTGTACTTGACTTCGTTGAAAACTACGATGGAGGACACAATCCCTTTTGTTAAATACTCTATGCAAAAAGAAGATTTCCCGTTACATCAAACTTGTGATACATGTATGGAGTACTAAATATAGACGAAATCAAAAACTAATTGTACAGTTAGGTTGTACTTTGCGAGACGAATGTTTTGAGCCTAATTAGTCAACGATGGGACAATTATTACCAAATACAAACGAAATACTACAGCGTGCTACAGTGTCGTGCAGTGAATCCGGCGGCGCCGAATTCGGCCAACTAAACAAGGCCCTGGTACTTTGTCAAAATCATCCTTGTTGTTTTTTTTTATGAATACAGGAGGGGCTTCCCCCTACTGGCTTTTATTAAACGAAATACAAAACTTTACAAAAGGGTTCACGACACAAAGAAAGAAATAAAGAAAATGAGCAATATTACACCTAGCCTTCTGGCCATCGACTAATATGGGGTTCATAACTAGCTTTTGCTCTAAGGGTAACTTGAGCAAATTCCTTCTTGAAGATGGCCTTGCATCGTTGTAGAGATGGCTGAATGCCCCTGAAGATAAGGTCATTTCTCACTGACCAAATACTCCAACACATTGTGATCAGAATCTCCAAAGCAAACGGACAGTGTAGCTGGGCTCTGTACATAGCAATTACCACAAATGGATCATCAGTCTGGGAAGGCAGCAAACCTAGGCTTGCCCAACAGATCTGTGCAAAGGGACAGCTAAGGAACAGATGTGTGACAGTTTCCTCAACCGGTGATGCAACACAACGAACACAATTATAATCTTCTAAGAACATATGCCTCCTTCTCAAGAGCTGTCTAGTACTCAATATCTGTCCCTAAGAAGAAGCCAAAAGAAGATTTTACGCTTGTTCTGACAACAAGTCTTCCATAGCCATCGAAACACTGGATGGACTTGTGGTGAACCTGTAAGATGCTTGTAAGCCTTCTTAGGGGAGAAAACTGAAGAACCCCAGATGTATGTCCACTGATCTGGTTTAGCTTGGAGATGGATCATTCAGTAACTGAATGTGGGGGATATGACCCCCGGTATCCATAAGACAAGACATGGGCTGCACCATGAGAAGTGGCCCAGCCCACAAGATCCAGGCGTGCACCACAAGATCCAGCCCACAGTTGGCATCCACCGTGGGGCTCGTGCGCGCTGATCCCTGGCGAACCAGATGACGTAACTCAAGATCAACATCCTTCGTGGCAACTCGGCTGATCGGGTCGACATCCTTCGACAACCACGGCGCACGTCTTCATACGCGGATTGACACTGCCAAGCTCTGACTATGTCCGTCCTACTCCAACACGAGATCAACTTCGTTCCAGCCGTCAAGCGAGCCGCTAAGCGAGCTGCCCGCGTCGCCGACTAGATAACGACATACGACGCCGACCAGACATCTTCGTATATCGCCATAATGTTTCTCCGGGCTGTTTTCTCTATGTTTGCTCTCCAAACGATTTTCTCCGCGTATATCATTTTAAAGATGACATACAGCTAAGTCTAAGGTGAATCCCCGAACAGTCATGTTGACGCTCGGATGTCCCCAGAGACAGCCTTGTCTCCGGCTCCTCCCTACACGTGCACGAGCGTCTGCCCTCTGCGTTATGGGTGGTCGGCAGCGGCTCCTTAGCAACGCTTTGTTCTTCCTACACACACGGGCTCCGCGCTCTGCGTTATGGTTAACGGGCTAGCTAGGGCTGGAGATTCAGCTACACACTAACTGGTCGGTCTGTTTATATTAAATATAAATAAATCTTCAGAATAACACTAAGTGTTCACACCAACTGATCACCTAGCTACATACGCTATTTCATCACCATTGCTGATTCTTCTCCGGAGTTCATATATTTTTACATCATGTACTACCTATTCTACGAATTTGTATTGCAGTATCATCGTACAGGTGATCGGACCACCTGGTGCTCGGACTTCTCCACCGATCAACTGGTCGGACCGCTAGGTTCATGGACTTCCTCACCGACCAGTTGATCGGACTGTTCGCCGATCGCTTCTACTCGATGCTCACTTCACCGTCGACCAGTTGACTGGACTGTTCGTCACTCGTGCTTCATCGTTGTAGAGATGGCCTTGCATCGTTGTAGAGATGGCTGAATGCCCCTGAAGATAAGATCATTTCTCACTGACTAAATACTCCAACACATTGTGATCAGATTCTCCAAAGCAAACGGACAGTGTAGCTGGGCTCTGTACATAGCAATTACCACAAATGGATCATCAGTCTGGGAAGGCAGCAAGCCTAGGCTTGCCCAACAGATCTGTGCAAAGGGACAGCTAAGGAACAGATGTGTGACAGTTTCCTCAACCGGTGATGCAACACAATGAACACAATTATAATCTTCTAAGAACATATGCCTCCTTCTCAAGAGCTGTCTAGTACTCAATCTGTCCCTAAGAAGAAGCCAAAAGAAGATTTTAGGCTTGTTCTGACAACAAGTCTTCCATAACCATCGAAACACTGGATGGACTTGTGGTGAACCTGTAAGATGCTTGTAAGCCTTCTTAGGGGAGAAAACTGAAGAACCCCAGATGTATGTCCACTGATCTGGTTTAGCTTGGAGATGAAGATCATTCAGTAACTGAAGGAGGTCTTGAAATTGCGTGACAACATGATTTTGATAGATAATTATTGCATAAAAATTTCAAATGATTTTAGCAAAGCGGTACAACACATTGTGCACAAATGGGCATATCTCGCACATAGTTATATGACTAAGTGAAGCTTTGGCTGGCAAGCACCAAGGGTATGGAGCTCAAGATCAAGCATCCTGACTTTATTACTGAACTGAGGTATAAGGGAATTTCTTTTGCTGTGTGATTGGGGTTATTTGAGAATTGTTGATCAAGCAAATTGTACTATATTAAATGTATTTGGGTTATCTGGGAATTTTTTTTATCAAAGCAAAAGGGGCAGTATGATGATACTGACTATTGGATCTACCATGCTATGCTGCCATTGTCTTTTTGGTGTCTATTGTTTTGTCTCTAATACTTCTGTGTTTTTTCACGTTTTCAGATCTGTCTAACTCAAAGTTGCTAGATGCTAAACTATTTGTTTTTACTGCTATTTTGACCCAAATGCGAGAAAATGATTGAGAATTTGGTTATGTTTATTATGCTCAGGTGATTTGTCAGGTTCAGGAATTGGATACTTCTGGCACCTCTAGGCTTGCTTCTCTGTTGACTACTAATGCAGGTTGGTCTAGATAAAGGTTCACATGGAAAAAACTATTGACTTTGGAAAACAGGTCTGTATTTGGCAATAGCATGACCCTGCAGATTATGTTACAAGCTTATGTATAGTTTTGTCGGCAATTTCGGTTGCATGGTGAATATTGCTATTTCAGCTAATACCATTACTGCCTTGCTTTTAATTATTCGTACACAAACGTACCCTTCTAAATTTTTTATCCATAAGTCCATAAGAGAAACAAAACAGTCTTATCATAGGTCTAAACTGTTCCAAAAACAACTTTAACTTGCTATGGAGTTTGGGAGACCTGATTCTGTTAAATGCGTCCAGGCATTTGGTAATCTTATGGGGATGCTCAGGTAAGACATTTCTTCATTATTTAAAAAATACATCCATTTTGAAAATTTTAAATTTCACTGCTCATGCAACTATATGTCACACACATATTTATATCTAAGGGATACAATGATGCGTAGAAAACTGAATTGTGCCTGTTGCGTTGCGTGCAAGGATTATCCTAGATACCTGAATATATACGTGGAGATGAGCCCAGCTGGGTAACACGATAATTGGTGAATAGGTTTTTTGTTGCTGGAACACAGTAAAGATTCATTATTTCAGTTGTTACTTCGATTGAAATATTGTTGTTATCTTTCTGTCACCATTTATTTAAGATTGAATGTCAGCAATTGAACCTTACATATGAGCACAGCTTTTTTTTTTATGAGTATAACTTCTGCATCATACTACTATTTCTTATTCTAGAATTGCGTGAGTGCATGTTACCAGGTTTTTACATTTATTACCTCCTACCGTTATCTGCCTTTTCTTCTGAACTTTAAATTGGTTTTGGTTCCTCAAAGAAGTGAGTGCCCTATGTCGGCGAAACTTTATGAAGGACGGCAGTGGCATTGCCTTTGTGATGAGGTACTCAAATGCCCTTTTGTTGTTGCAGGTTTTGCTTGGGCTCAATGGATTAATCATAATAAGATGGCGATAGAGCATACCTTCCCCAATCTAACTGATGTAATCTATGCTGGTGTGCATCTCTTGTAGAAATAGTGCCCCTTACTACACACAAAACACCAAGTGAAGCTGTGGAGGTGTTCACGGGGAAAGTGCTGAGTTGGTTGCATGATTTCAATCCAACTACACCAACTCCATTTGGTCTGTACGAAATGATGCGATTTTCAGGCAAATCCAACCATCCCTACAGCATGGCAAGTGGCATCGGGACGGATTTTGCTCAAGTTATTCTTAGAGCAAAGAATATTTATATGAACCACAAATTAGTCTATGGCTAGAAGTTTATGTATAATCCTTTTGTAACTTTCTTTGTTTCATAAGCCTGTTGTAAGACTCTTTTGTTTGCAATAAAAGCCCAGTAGGGGATCCACCTCCTGTTTTTTTTTTCAAAAAAGAAAAAAAAATCCAATCTGATGAGTTTGGTAGTCGTGCTTAATCTTGTTATGTTCGTTAGCTACTCCCACGACTTGTGTGGTGTTCTGGTATCCCCAGAGGAATTTGTTTTATAATCTAGTAACACTACAGGTTAAACCTTAATTGCTTTCAATATAAGAATAGGAAATCTCAGCTCAACATAAAAAGGTGTAGAAATATGCTTCACATTTTAGTTTAATTAAAGCACACCAACGAAGGCACTTGGTCCATGACAACAGCTCATGTTCTTCTACATTTCATTACACCACAGAGGAAACAGCAAACACTCTTCAGATCTCACAGCAGCTGCTCCCGGAACACCCTCAGCACGTCCGCGAACGTGACGATGCCAGCAAGGCGGCAGTCGTTGTCCTCGTCGAGGACCCACACGTAGCTCACCCGGTGTGCGAGGGCCTGAACCATGACCGCCACCAGTGAGCTCGCGGGGCTGCACACCACCGGCTCCTCGGCCGACCGCCGGCCGTAGCTCCCCGACGACGGGCGCCTCAGCTGCGCCCGGCCTGCCTCCTCGTCGGACGAGGAGGACGCGGAGGAGAGGGACGAGAACGACGACAGCGTCTCGTCCTCAATCAGCGCGAGCATGGCGTCCAGGCCCTTGTCCTTCAGCCCGGCCCTCATGGCGCGCAAGATGTGCTCCGGCGGCGACCCGAAGTAGTCGACGTAGGCCATGAGGTCTGCCGCCGAGAGCGTGGCGATGGCTGCGGCCGCCGTCTCGTCGCAGGCCGCGAGAAGGGCGGGGGAGATCTCGCCGACGAGGTGGCCGTCTTCGGTGACCACGGCGACGGCCGTCTCCGTGGCGACGGCGCGGCGGATGAGGGGCACGGCGGACAGGGCCGCCTCGCCGGGGCGCACCGAGAGGAAGTCGGTGCGCACGAGCCCCAGGGAGGACACGGAGCGCGCGGCCACATGGTAGAAGAGGCCGATGGAGTTGAGGAAGTAGCGCACGAGGTCCTCCTGCGTGAGCCAGCAGAAGTCGCCGGCGGCGGCGCCTCCGACGCCGCCGCCGCCAACGAGCTGCTTCCTGCGCCCGCCAGCGCGGAGTGGGACGGCGAGCACCTGCGCCCCGCTCAGAATCGCATCAAGCGCCTCCAAGATACTGCAGAAAGAAACCTCGCACTGGTCAGCTCAAAACGAACCGAATCTATGCCGTGAATCCCGTGATTAAATAGGCAACACGCAAGACACGGAGACAGGATCCCAAAAGAATCACCACTATTTTCAAGAAAAGATTCGATTAAGACGCACAATTTTTCCAACCACATGCCAAGATCCTCCTTTCATTGCACGACTCGATCAAGCATCTGATCCTGATCCTATCAAGCATCTCGCAAGGAGACATGGGTGCATGTCACAATCTCCGGGAACCCACACGGGCCACACCGAGCCGCACCACAAGATTGTCTCCGCTGAGTCGGACGATCTGACCCGAATGCGGCTTTTTCTTCACCACCACGAGTAATGACAGTCAATTGTTCGAATCGGATCGCATATTCCAAGCAGGAAAGCAGACATCAAACTCTCCCAAGTAACTATGATGAGGATGAACGCTCTTCTGTCTTGGACTTGGACCCAAAATAAAAAATGACACTAGCAGGCACATCAATTTATTTTTTCGCAGCTTTTATGGGGATTTTTTTTACCAAAAATCGTGTTTCCTAGTGAGAGCCTTAGCAAACGTCCAATCTTGAACGAGTCCCACGCGTCGTTTGCAAAAAGCCAAAAACCCAAAAGAGAGGAAGAGGGAAAAAGGTTGAGCCTTACCTCGAGCGGGGATCGACGCGGCGGACCTCTCCGGCGCCGTCCTTAGGCAGGAGCGCGGAGACCGGCTTGGAGAACACGGCGGCGGGGCGCGCGAGCGCCTCGGGGTCGGTGCAGAGGAAGCAGAGCACGTCCGCGAGGCCGACCCGGCCGACGACGGCGCGCGCTGGTCCGGTCACCGCGACGCAGGCTGCGGCGCCAGAGCGGGCCACCCTCCGGAGCGCGGCGGCAAGGTCGCCGGCGGCGGCGGAGAGCGGGAGCGACCTCACAGCCGGCTTGCCGATGCACAGGTCCGACACCTCATTGGCCAGGAAGCTCACTGCCATGCACTTGCGGGGCGGGCCCTGGGCGGTTTCGAGATCGAAACCCCTTTCAAAGATTTCAAGGAGGAGGGAGAGCGGCGAGGAACCGGGAGGCGTTTCTTGGTGGGATTTGGGAGGAAGACGAGAAGGGGGAGGAGGGGATTTTCGTTTCAGCCGCGGCTCGTTGGGAGGAGGACGTTTATATAGGCTTTGCCGCTTTGCGGGTGGGAGAGGGGGTTGCGACGCGTTGTGGGTTGGGGTATCTCAATGACATGTGGGTCCCCTTATTCGTTGGCCTGGGAGAGGCGAGAGCTGGGTTGTTTTGGGGTGAGCTGGAGAAAACCCCCGCCGCGGTTTTACTCGGTGGTGGCGTCGAACGGCGTACAGTTTTGAAGCCGGCTAAGCTGAGCTGACAGCTGAGTGGAGCCGACCTGAGCTGGCTTCGGCTGATTGCGAGTGCTGACTAGGATATCTGTGAAAAGGGATCTGCTATTTCTACAGCTACGATTTGTTTAATGTTTCTTATTACATTTTCTTAAAAATTAAACTTTCTACAGTAATAGTAACCTCAACAATTCTGGTGACGTTTCTTCGGTAAAAAACAGCGAACTCATACGCAAAAATTCCTTTTAAAGTATACAACGTTTTCAGATTGTTTTATTAGACTCTTGAGTTTATCTACCTACCTAACTTTCAAAAGATAAGGTGAACAGATGCAGCGATACTGTGCTTAGTTTGCATATTAAACAACAGTAATGCTTGAGCAGGGCTTCCGTCCGTCCGAAAGCGTTCGTTCGTGGGCCACGACGCTAGCCCAAATGAACCCCCAAGCAACCATGAATCTCGTGCCAGTCCAGCACAGCAAAGGAGGCAACCGGCAAGGCACCGCCAACCCAGCAGACTGACCAAAGCACTATCTGCCTATCCCCTCCCACCCACCCTCTCATCTCAGGCATGACGACGACGTCCAGAGCCCCTCCGACCTGCCGCTGGTGCCGACCCCGATCTGCAAGGCGTGCTGCGTGCGCTCTGCCGCCAACGACGAGCGCGTCCTCATGGAGTTCCTTGAGGCCTCCCTCCGCACGTGCCTGACCTCTCCTTGCCCCCGCAGAAGCGCTTCAACTTCCCGCCAGCGCCGGCACCGCAATCAGATGGGATCTCTTCGCACGCCCTCGTTTCGAGCGACGTGGATGCAGTGTTGCGAGCGGTTATCGCGGCCACGAAGTCCGCCGCGTTTCACGTGACTAGCGCGATCGATGCAAGGTTTCTCTTCTCTACACCGATGAACTCCACACACTGACTAGCCTACATTCTCTCAAGCAGCAAAGAGATATTGTGTTGAAATCGCATGTTGCAAGCGTATGTTTCACAACTATGTTGTAAGTGTTTCGTATAGATGTTGCAAAAGTAGATCGGTGTGTTGTATATGTTGAAATGGTTGTACACGTATGTTGCAAACGTCTGTTCCCAATGTTTCATCTGTTTTTCAGACTTATGTTGCAAGTGTGTTTATCTGAATGTTGCATATGTTTTCACACATATGTTGTAAGTGTTTTATCTGGATGTTGTGTATATTTGCAATGGTTTTCAAGTGTTTCCGGTGTTTTTTTGTAAATGTTTCAGACGCATGTCTCAGGTGTTTCATCTGTCTTCAGATGTTCATTGCAATCGTTGCATCTGGATGTTTTCAAAATTAGATTAGGTCGATTGTTGCAGTTGCTGAGGGGGCGCGAGGGGTCGGGAGAGGGGCGCAGACGCCGCGTGGGGTCGGGCTATGCGCGGAGTGCAGCGCGGGAACGGGGTGCGAGCACAGGCGTCTGTCCGGACGTCCGGGTGCTAGCACTGCCGATTAAGCAAATATTAGGTCTACTGTATATCATATTGAATGTTTATTATCGTATACTGTAGTAATTCCTAGTTTATACCAATTGATTTCTTTTATGTAGATCACATTTGCTGCCATGCTGGATCTAATTAAATCTAACGTGGGCATTGGTGCCACCAGTTAGATGGACGAATTCGACTATTTTTGAAAGGTCAGAACGAATTCGACTTAACCAGAAACATCCATTTCATAAAAGTACAACCGGACTTCATGGCTTGGCACAAACCTTGCAATGCTCTCCAATTCTATTATTATTACTCGTGTCGAGCTTCGGGAAAGTGAATTGTACACTAGGATTAATTAATCAAATATGTTCTATACAGGAAATAAAATTAGGCTGATGTTTATGTATTTCTCCCGATTCTATATGTCATCTTGAATTTGTCTGTTCTAAATTATAGATTATTTTTATGTTTTTTATATAATTTTTGTTATGTGTTAAATATACATTATGTCCAAATTTATTAAAAAAATCATGTACCAAGAAAAAAACACAAAAAATAATAATTTTGAACAGATGAAATAAATATATGATTGATGTATACTTTTCTTACGTTGAGTTACTTATCTATACACTAGTATATTACCCGTGCTTAACGCTACGGTGACATTTAGGTAACACACATTAAACAGTCATAGTGGACATGCACAATGCGAGTCACACGTGGATATCAAAAGAAATGCCCATGCTAACGCTATGGACAAATCAAATAACTAAAACATTTGTAAGAAAATATATTTGCTAATCAACAAGAAATTTGTTTGCCAATTGTAAGAAAATATTTCTTTTCACCTGTTTGGCATCATATTTTCTTCTTTTCATTTGGATTAACAAAAATGATAAGCTGGCTACACACATGCATACCTATAAAGCGAGGCTAAATCCACCATTGTCCTCAAGCTCAAAATACAACAACTGTAAAGAGAAGTGTCAACATACTTATTTGCTCCAATTACACAATATATCAAGTACTTGGTTCATTTCGTGGACGGCTTGTATTACTCTTAAAAAAATCAATGTATCCTTGTTGTGGTTCTTTTTTTTTAGCACAACTTTAAGTGATTCTATCAACTCACCTACTCCTTTTCTGTTTCCGTTTCCTTACTGGGGAGCGCTGAAATTTTAAGAGATATCAAATATTAGTAATTGAAAGTAAAGCTGAAGTAAAAAGGCTAATATGTCAGTACAGCAGTACATGCCGCTTGAAGAATTGCAAACAGTATAATAGCTCAGGTTTGGGACTGAAATTTAGAACATGATCTGGTGGAAGACCTGCTTCAAAAAAAATTATGGAAAGCATAATCTGATGAGTTAACAAAAATAAAATTAGTTTTTGTACTTTAAAACAGTTTTTGGCCTCTATCTAGCACTACAGTTGATTTCAATACGTAATTTGAAACAGCTTTGGGTAATTAGAGTTCAATCCAATAGCAAAACAATGTTCTCTTAGGTGCATCTTAGGTGCAGGTTCATTATTTTCCTTCAAGGTTCTCTTGTTATAATTTAACATGTATGTAGAAAATGTGTTTTTAATAATATACTAAATTTTTAACTATTGCATGGGTAAAAATATATTTAGAAGGCAACAAGGTCAGTCCATGATCAAGGAATGTGGCCAACTTATTTCTTTTGCTATTTCAGGTGGGCTGAGTGCAAAAGGGCAAAGTCATCGCACCACCTTTTGAATCTAGGGTAAAAGCTAGGATCAAAGTTATCACACACTTGTTTCTGAATCTGAAAGGGTCCAATAAAGCACAAATGCGTTATGCACCAAACATACAACAGCTGAACAAAGGTCAACACAACAGCCTTGCAAGAGGTGATTTTGACCAAATTAAATGGATCTTTTTTTATAATAACTGGATCTATATTTATGTTCTGAACAAGTGGACAAGAATGTAGTGACATATAGAATGGAAGTGCTTGACATCTCTGCTACTTACTGAAGGTGCCCAAGTAGAGATAAAAAAGGATGTTTATATAGGGAAAAAAGAAACAAACTAAATTAAGTAGTTGGATCCAAATCAAGTGAAACTGCGTATCTAAATAGACTGTAGATTCAAGAATTGATTTCAATCCAGCAAATCATGACAACGAATCCAAAAAATGATAAAAGCAAAGTAATGTCAGTAAATAGATAACAACATTGTGGAAAGATTAAATTTATAAAAAAAATATACATATTTAAAATAACAACCTTGACGACCCTTGCAAGTTTGTCCTTCCCTTCTGCAACTGTTGTACCACAGATGCGCCTCATATCTCCCGGTGCATCTATGCCTAAAATAATTCTAAAGTGGTAGCTTTTTGTTAATTGTCTACTGTTATACCAGTATACCACAATAATGCCCAATACAATGGCGCTTCTAATAACCAGCGAGATCATCAAAGGCTTCGATGGGGTCGGCACAGGGGCAAGTATTTCGACAGGAAAAGAAGCCTAATGCAACTAATACTTTCCATGGACACTACCGGCCGATAAAAATATAGATTTACAATTATTCAGAGACACCATGCGATACGGAAGAATTGGACAATTTATATAGTAGATATATAGCTGCATTATCAAATATTATATTCTTTGGTCAGGCAAGCCCATCTAACAGAATAAACAAGAATACAAGATGACTATATACCGCAGGAACAAATGTATTCTTTGTGCAGCTACACCAAATCGGTATAAAAAACAAATGACTATCCAAGTATGAACCGCATGAACAAATATCTTTTAGCAAGGTCAATAAAATATTCTAATGTATCTAGTAGCAAAAGGACTTAAGTTTAACGAACTGCCAGAATACAGAAGTAAAAAGAATATATTAGTTACAGTAGAGTTTTTTTTAAATAATCGAGAGTTTTGTTTCAGTAAAAAGCATATTTGTTTCATAATTTACTTCAGAGGCCATTGCAGTTTACTTCAGAGATCATATGTCTACTTCCAAATGGAGCCCTTCAAGTATATGGAGATGCATCTGGTGGTTAGGATCCACTGCTGCCGACTTGTTGAGGATCGGAGAAGCCCGCTGCACTACGAAGATAGCCTATTTAGCACCAGCCATATATTTGCTCAGCTGAATCTGAATTTAAAAAACTAGAGAGGAGGGGGAAAAGAGACGACTGCTCTACCAAACTCACCTC